GGAACAGTTTTTATACAGAAAAGGCAAGAAATTACAAGCTCCAAGGAACAAAATAATCAACTATAGGGCATTTGGTCTAGTGGTATGATTCTCGCTTTGGGTGCGAGAGGTCCCGAGTTCGATTCTCGGAATGCCCCCTTTTTTATTAGTGTTGGAAATGGTAACTAATTTAGGGATAATTGCAGCAAATGTTGCAAATGAAGTCATTTTGGACAATTTCGATCCATAATTCTGTCAGTGGACAAAATATTTAACTTTGACCACTATTTTAAATAGATACAAAAGTGTAACTTTTCATTTATCACATTAAATAAAAAGAAAAAACACGCACAGACACAGGTGTCTTCTTCCTCTCAAACCTCAACTACCTCAAACCCAAAACCTCCACCTCCAAAAGCAAATGAGGATACCTATATGATTGGACTACTGGTAGGACTAATTTCAAGTCTTTCTTCCCAAAAAACCTAGGCTTGTTGACTTGCTTGAATTTTTGGAGATTTGAGTATTGGAAAATCTCTCAACAGGTTCACTCGCTTACGCGACTACAACAAAAAAGTCCTTGCATTCGTGCTTTGCTTTCAAACTTTGGACTCTTTCGCCCTTTTGTTTTGGATTTTATCTTTTACTTTAATGGAATTGGATGTTTCAATTTTTTTCTCCGATTTTATATGAATTATGCTATTTGTACCCTTTGGGGTACACTTTGGTTTACCCGACTCCACCTCCTCCCTCACATGGGGGTCGAGTCCCACATCCAATAAATGCGTGGAACCTGACCTCCATGTGAGGGAGGTAGTGGGGCCGGGTAAACCAACATATTCCCCAAAGGGTACATGTAGCAAGGTTGATTTTATATTCATATCAATTGGTCCAGAATGGCTGAAGGCATTTATGGAATACACTGAGAATCCAGAAACAATGTTGCTTTAAAATTCATTCATTTTCTACCTTTCCTAGTTTTTCGAGTTTTGATATCCAAGTTGTGTAAATGAATCGTGTCCTTTCATTCCCAGTATCAATTTTTGGAGTTTGATTATGTCCAAGACATTTATTGTCAAATAAAAACGGACGGTAGCAGGTGGTTGGTGGAGGTGGTGGGTGGTCGGTGTGGATTTTGAGTTTGAAATAGAAGTGGGGGTGGGTGAGGATTGAGAGGAATAAGACGATTGTGTGTGTGTGTGTTTTTTTTTCTTATTTTTTTATTTAACTATCTAATGTGATAAATATAAAATTACTCTTTTGTCCCTTTTTAAAATATTCAAAATGTGATCAAAGTTACATTTTTGGTCAACTAACAAAATTATGGATGAAAAATGTCCAAAAGTGCTTCACCTGCAACATTTAGAAATGTCGGGGTGACGGCTGCAACAAATCAAAGGTTTGAAGAAGTCTACTAATGTTTCAAAAGTTTGAAACTTTTGCTACAATTATCCCTTGATTTTATATGGCACCAAAGAAATAGGCATTACTTTCAAATAAAATTTAAATAGAAAGCCACCATTTGTTCTATTCCAGGAGAAGCAGAACAGAGAGCTAGAACTGTATAATCTAAATATTTTTGGTAAAAGTAGTAATTTTATTTTTGAAATATAAACTAATCTTATTTCCCTTTATCAAATGGATTGATTATTTACAAGTTGGAATAAACAGTATAAAGATAGAAAAATAGTAATTTATTTTAGTTGAAATGATTAATATTTACAATTCTGTAAAGGCACAATTATGAAAATAATCACAAAATCCATCACAATATATCCTAAGGAAAAAATAATTTATTTTTATTTTTATTTTCATACCATGGACTGACTGAGTAGTAGCCTAAATTCGTCAATTACAACATAATTTGTTAACAACTCAAGCCTTTATACATGCATACTTGAGGCTTTAAAATTAATTTTCTAGCTGTCAAGATTATACACAAAATTAAATTAAATTTTTGTTGATAGATGCACCGTGCATGTGACATTACTAACGGTTGAAAAAGATTGTTTCGATTTGATTTGAAGGGATTAGCTGTTCTCATTGACACACTTCGATTTGTTCATTATTAAAATTTTGTTGAAAGGATAGTTTCGATTTTGATTCACGGTGA